TTGAGTTAAAGTGTTTGTGTCTCCCAAGCTTGATGAGTTTTTTTCATAATTGACAGAGAAGACACTTGTTATTTTTATGGTATATTAGGTGGGAAAAGGATCTCCTTTATAAATCTTCTTATAAATTTGGTATCAACAGAATGCACTGCATTTGTGTAGTTTATGAACTCATGGTGGGATGGTGGACATACTTTGCACTGAAAAGATATCTCACTGGGATCCAATTTTCAACTTTCACAAAAGTGTATAAATCAACTGCAAGTGCAAATCAGTGAAGAAAACAAATTAACAAATATCAAAGAAAATAATTTTGAAATCTCCATGAAAGAAACTAGGAGAAGGTTAGCACAGGAATTGAATGTCTAATATCAAATAATAAGAAGAAAAAATTACAAGGTAATACCTGCAAATCAAACAGCAGCATCAGTGAGGTAATTTTCAGCAAGCAGGTGTAGCAAGATAATTCTCATTAATGAGTATATAATTTTTGAAGGTCTGATCTTTGTTATGTTAACTTGGCAAAATGTCCTTTGGCTTCTAGAAAGTCTGAACTTTTTGGCAGTTCATGTGCCAACTTGGTCTCCCTAAGATACTCAGGTATGGTGCAATAGTGTCCCTGCCTAGATCAAGGTGTTCTTGCTTTTTACATTAGTGGTTCCTAACATCTGCCACAGATGTGAGAAGAACATTCAAAAGCTGAAAGTTAGCTTGTGAGTATCACATTATGAGCATATTTAGTGATACACCTAAATTTTCAGCATTGATATTACAGTTGTGATATTTAAATTATAAAGACTGGCTTTTCTATATGCTGTTTCTGCAATCAAGAGAACAATAATTAGGTCATATATCAGGTTTTCAGAGGGTTTTCATTATGTTTAACAGGGGCTTTTCTTTCTCTTTGACAAGCATTTGTAAGAACATACTAAATGCTGTGTGGTACTCCAGATACTCTATTTACTGGGTATGTGATTTTGGTTGGAGTGTGAGGGGCTGAGATAATACAGTATCTTTTAGGTATTAATGACATGACAAATTAAAGCAAGATCTTAAATGTTTAGGGGACAAACTGAGATCACTGAGACTGTGGTGCTTGATTTGCAATGTGAAATGCTCACTTGGAAAACTCTCATTTCAGAAATTCTCAGTGAAACCCTTTTCTCAACCCAAAATTAAAATTCTCCCTTTCAAGGACAGTTCTTATATTGAAGTTTAAATATTGATAATATACAGAGATTTACTGGCCTACAACTGAGCATATCATTTTTTGTGCTGGGTCTTTGCTGGCTGCAGCACAGAGTGCGTGCCATGGCTTTCCCTCCAGCAGGAGCCAGCCTCAGCTGCAGGTCAGGGACTGTGCAAGCCCTTCCTGTGTGTCTGGAGTGGGGCACTTGGCAGGGGAGGTCAGGTCCCAGTCACCCTCTCCTTGTGTCTCTGCAAGGCCACTGTGCTGAGCAGGAGCTGTGGGAAGGCCAACCAGTGCAAAAGGAGCAAGCAGAACTTCAGAAACTTACCTGACATCAGAATCCACTGAATTTCCAGATAAATTTCTAAAAAATGAGGAGAGCAGTCACTGTTGAAAGCAGTGTTTTCACTTAGGTAAGACACAATACCAGATAAATAAGGTTTCGAGTTCTTCTGCTTATTTGATTTTAATCTTGGTCTCCTTGTGAGTTTTGGGACTTTGAAGACCCGAGGAAGGTCTGGTTTTGTGGACACCTTTACCTTCAAGCTTCACAAAACTAAACCTGCTTCTTCACAGTGTGGTTATGAGTTTTGGTTTTACCTTTATGTAGAGGCAGAATAGGGTCAGCGGTAGACACAGGGAAACAACATGGTTTGGCCATGATTCTGCTTCAGCCAGGCCAGATCTCAGGCTGGTGAGAGAGGGAAAGACAGCCAATTTCTCCAGAAACATTCGGTTGCAATTCTTTTTTGTTCCTCTCTTCCCTTGCTGGGGCAAACCCCCTCTCCTTGTCAGCTCACCTAAACTGACCTGGTTCTGGTCAAACTGTAGCTGGCTTGGATTTGACAGGACAGTCAAATGCAAAAGTTAGAGAAAGGGCTGTCTTCAATTGACAAACAGGTTAAAAGGTTGCATGACCATCTGCAAATGTACCCGGTGTGTGAATGCTTTCTGGTTCAGTCCTGATGTGTGTCTTCTGGATGCCCTGTGCTCAGAGAAGATTTACTGTGCTGGGTAAGGAAATCAACTTCTAAATCTGTTTCATTAGACATAATCACTCTGGCTTTGCTGTTTGAATAGCTAAATAGAAGGGAGATCTCAATAGTTTGCCATAGCCTAAAAGAGTCACAGTTCACTCAGTAGGTTTGGCTGCCAAAGGGTTTTGTTTAAGCAAGGGAAGTATATTGTAGAAGATGATTTTCTTCAGTTTTAGATACACTTATTTTTGTAAAAATGTCTGCTAAAGCATAACCCATGTGCAGTCAATGACAGTGGATGTAGTCAAGTTAGAGGTAGAAGTTGTTCTAGTGTGTAGTTGTTTGGGTTTTTTGTTTTTGTTTTAATTGATCTGGGTAACACAGTTCAAATAAACACAATTGTGAATGTTTAAGTCATAGATTTGTCTCATTCTCATATTTTGAATGTGGCATTTCTGTGTTCATAGTGATAAAATTCAAAAGGAAGTAGCAGTCTACTAGGAAGGTAATTTGAGAAATGAATCAGAGTGACTTGATAAGCTTGTAGGTGTTAGGATGACAGCCAGTTTCAGTTTATATAAATACCTATTTTGATAACAAGAGAAAGGAGAAAATACAAAGAAAACTTTTCAAATAATTTAAAAACAAACATGATTTTCATTGAACTGTCTTGCAAAGAAGATGAAGGAAATACAGTGGAATATTTTGCAAAGCAATAAACATTACAATGAAGTTCTTGTTTTCAGCAGTATTGGTGTAGAGTTTTTTGCAATTCCCCATACAATTTCTCAAAAGGTGCTAGCATATTCTATGGAATGACAGTGCTTAGGAGTATGCTATGTCAGTATACAATTACATTTTCTCTTTTTCACTTGAAAATATTTCTAGTATTTTCTCTAACTTGTTTTATTACTCTTTTTCTTACAAGGCACCTGATTTTGGTTTTGAACTCTGTATTTTCTGTTAAAATGTTATGTTTGTCTTTCTTTCTAACACTGAATTTAGCATGATTTGTGCATGGGATGTATAAATATGTTGATACTGTTAATATATTTGAACTGATGCAGTTTTATGAAAAAGTCTGTGTGTCTTAATTACTCATTTCTTATGGAGGTGTGTATATATATATATATATTATATGTTTATATTTACACACTAGTAATTTAACCAAAACAATACATGTAAAATGTTACTATATATGTGAGTAAATGTGATTATAGAATCATAGAGTGGTTTGGTTTGGAAGGGACCTTTAGGGTCATCCAGTTTCAGCCCCCTCCTGCAGTGAGCAGGGACTCTTTCAGCTAGATCAGGTTGCTCAAGCTCCATCCAACCTGACCTTGAGCACTTCCAGGGATGGAGTAATAGATAAGTGGGTGATCCCACTTTCTTATGTTTGGAATGAAGTTACGATACTTGCTATTGTAAAATTAAATACTTTTGGACCATAAGAAAAAGAATTAAAATAAGTAAAAAAATTCAATATAAGTTTAAAATTTTCAGGTGTTGTAATTTTGCGAAGTACAAGGTCATACAAAACCATGTTAATTGTATTTAAAGCTCACTGTATTTCATTTGCTGACACTTTGAGATAAAATGCTTACAATCCCTTTCATGAATGTATAATGCATTAAATATTTTTTTTAAAATGTGCATGCCAATGAAAAATGATTGGGAAATCTGTTCTAAAAACCTGTCTCTTCAGTATGTGGTTTTGTCTGCAGTTTAGCATATGCATTTGACCCAGCTAAAAACAGCCCTGGACTCAGGCCACTCCTTTTGGCAAAAGTATTCTTGTTGTCTTGGGACAGGAAGAAATGGCAACCACCATGAGTTCACGTGCCACTTCAAACAGTCCAAATTTTCTTCAGAGCAGAGCCAGCATTTAATTTGTGTCTGTCTCCATGCCAAAGATCATGTGGGTATTGGTCCTCTTGCCCTTACAGTGATAATCCATTTGCCATTAACTGGACTTTGGTTCAAAAATACTGCATGTTTAATCCAGTGGACTGCTACCCAGTGCTGTAACAGAAAGATAATGGGCTACAAGAGAGATTAATAAGATTTTTGAGTCGCAAAAGCATTAAGCCAGTTTAAAGCTATTGGTTAAGCTGCTCAGAACTGGTAATGCATTAATCTTGAGCTGTGGTGTATGAGCGCAGCCGCTGCTGATGTGCATTAAGACATCTACATGGTCACCTTGTGCTTAGCTCTATTTCAGACTGAGTTAGCAATAACACTCTCCTAAGTCTTAAGGTGAATTTCCAGGAGATAGGTTAACAAAGCATATGCAGTGATTCTCAGTAGCAGGTGTCTGGTTTTACCTGCTTTATGGATACCAGGGCTACAAATCTGGGATGGCTGGGTATTTCTTCTGCTGGAGAGCCATCTGTCTCATTTTGGACTCTTGAGCCTGCTTTGATTCTCCTCTTGTTGGTGGATGTGACTGACTTCCACCCCTGTAAGGACTGCAAAAGCCTCACTCAGTGGTGGTTGTGAACCTTAGCTTGAATATTCCCGTGCTGCTTCTGCACTTCATTTCGTGTTAGCGCAGTTAGAACCCCAGGTGAAAATACCTCTCCAATCTGTTTAATTGGAATTAAGGTCTTCTAGTCCAGAACTGGCATGTCATTTAGAAATTTGTTTGATGGTTATTTCCTTCTAAGGTTTGGAAAATGACAATGTTGCTTGTTTCTTTTTGTTTGTTTTTTTTCTCATTCTTTTTGAACCCTCGTTTTATATGTGTGTGTTTTTTTTTTTCCTCTGCCTAGACCTGGTTAACCATTTCTGTGAACAGGTCCTCAATTTTTTACTTTGTCCCTACTTTCCTGTCGTAGCCCCATCTTCCCCTGGTGTCGACTCCGTACCCTTACAGCGCACAGGCAGCCAGCACGGCACACAGAACGCAACCGCGACCTTCCAGAGGGCCAGCTATGCGGCCGGCCCAGCCTCCAATTACGCAGACCCCTACCGACAGCTGCAGTATTGTCCTTCTGTTGAATCACCATACAGCAAATCTGGGCCAGCCATCCCACCCGAAGGGACCTTGGCTAGGTCACCTTCCATTGATAGCATTCAGAAAGACCCCAGGTGGGTGAAACCTTCTTCATTGTCTTTTATTTCCCGCTCGCGCTGAGGGTTGTAATTGTGGTTTGCTTTGCGTGTTTCTGCTGTTGGATATCAAAGAAACACCCGTGGTGGTACACGAAAGACTTTGTTTGCATGACAGCATTGTCCTAATGCTTCACCTTGGAAAGCTCTCATGAGCTGTTCTGTGCAATGAAATGATAGGTGTGGTCTTGAATGTGTGTGTGTTTAGCCTGCTCTCAGTAGTGCCACCCCTCAAAAGCTTAAAAAAAGTAGTTTTCTCTGGAAATGGGAGGAGTGGAGTAACTGTTGGCTCTGTAGCCATTGTGGATTGAATTTTCAAGTTGCTTCTTGGGCAGAAGTTGTTGCAGTTCTTGATTTGTCTACATGTAATGTTTAAAATGCTGCGGAAAAGGATATTTGGGTGTTGTGTGGTGAGACTGAGCAATGTGAAAACAACATGTAACCAGGGTTGTTTTTCATCCCATGTGTTGTACAGGCTTACAGTGCCAGTATGTGGTAATAGAATGTATGATTACAGTTTTGCAGAAATGGTTATTGCTGTGCATGTTCTTCAAATATTTAGCACAATTTTTAATGTCGCTGGTGACCATCCTAATCTACTTAGGGAAGGTGCAAGGAGGAAACTTTACAGCCCAAGCAGTCACATAGATGAGAGAGAGAATTTTCTGGGAAATTATTTGACTTCTATGATAATAGCAACAGAAGTGCTAGCTGGAATCCTCAATGCACTTTGTGATTCTGTTCAGTTTTCTAAGGGAAAATAAAGCAATTCCCTCTAGTAACTTGAGTTTAAACTTGTTGAAAGTGTTAGTTTATCCCAATGTTTTTCTTTGGCAGCTGGTGTGATTTATTTGTTTGTTGTAATGCGTAATTTAATGATAGAAGAGTCCAAAAGTTTGCCTGCAACAAAAATGCTGGAGGTTTTTAAGTAACAATTTGAAGAAACTTCTTTCCCAAAATCTAAAAAAATAAATTCATAAACTGATTCTTTACTTGTTTAGCAGTAGCAATTCTTTCTGTCTCTCCACCCAGGAACAGAACAGCAGATAACATTTTGCAGCACATCAGAAACATCACTGCTTGCAGGGTTTTACTTGTTGAGAACACTTCTGTCTTCAAGCTTTTTTTTTTCCCTCTTAGCTTTAACTGGAGAAATATGAAAAAAAATAATTGCTTCCTTTCTTCCCCCTGTGCCAAAGCAAACATTAGTAACAAGAGGGGAAAGGTATTTTTCTGAAATGGTGGTATTATATTTCCGTTCCAGAATATAAGAGCCCATGTATAAAAAAGAGCTTTGCTTTGTAATTGTGTTATGTTGAAAGTTAAGGCAACTTACATTAGGAGAGCACTAGACCAGATGAGAAGTGACTGTAATCTATATGAAATGTTCTCAGGAGAAGCATGATGGTGTTGAAAATGCTATTCCCTCTAAACAGGAAAGACATACTTACAGTATCTCTACAGGGCTTAAACATAATGCCTTTTTAAGAAGAGGTTATTTCTGTTCAATTCCTTTGTTATCACTTTGCAACTGTTAATGTATAGAATATGTGCTAGTATTTTTCATTTGCTTCTTTTTTGGTTCTTCCTTGTCATGCCATTTGTACATTCATGAGTATTGATTTCTGGAGGTAAAATAGGAGCGAAGAAGCAACTAGGTATAAAATGAACTTCATAAACCCTTTGGAGGGGATCATTAAATATTATTACTGATTACTGTTAGATGGGTTGAAAATTTGTACAAAACTTTTGTAAATGGGTTTGCATTACTCTTGATTTCATTTCTTTGGTCCTAGGCTGTGTGTGGCATATATTAGTATTTCTACCTTTGCATGTTGGTTTGAATAATTCTGATAAAGAAATGTCAGAAACACACTTGATTATGTTATGCCTTAATCCACAGAAACCATACTCCACTGAGGCAGACTGACTTGTGAAACTGTCTGTGGCCTACAGCAGTTGCTGATCATTCAGCTATTGGAAAGATATTGAAGATTTGAAAGGAATTGGGAAAAAGTAACAAAAGCAATCAGAATGCTTTTAACATACCGATTTATATGAATAGATTACAAAAATGCCAATATATTATAAGTGTGGAAGTGATAAAATGAAGACTTTCCAGATACTTCAAAAAATACTATGGAATTGAAATTACTTTGGGTAGAATGTGGGAGATACAGTCAGGAAAAGGAAGATGACCCAAATGCAATACAGGTTTTCAGTGGCTGTGTTGAGTTGTGCTGTATGCCCCAGAGGGTTACCAGTTATGGCTTACACAGCAAGAAAAAAGTCCACAGGTTGATCAGCAGCTGCACTTTGTCAGCTGATAAGTCCCAAGTGTCCTTACAGACATGTTGCTGCTTTTGTTGGCTAGTGGTCAGAGTATTTTCTGACTGTCACAAGTTGTAGAGGGCAATAGTAGGCTTCATTTTCAGACACCAAACCTACCTGTCCAGCCAGAGGTCCAAAAAAATCCTCAGTGGCAGAGGAAAATCTGCAAGACAAAAGCACGCTATGTGTAGGCTTTTGGTTAACCTATGTATCATTCAGCTCAAGATGAAAATCTAGATATCCAGAAGAGATAGTACTCAACCCTTATAAGCAATTAGCATTCCTAAAATTGAACATAATTTTCTGGAATCTTCAATTCAGACAGAATTTCTGTCTGGAGGCCCAGAAAAATGGTTGGCAGACACTGATGTAATTGACATTTTTTCCATTGTTTTCACCATGTAGTTTGTCTTACTGATACTTCTAAGTTTAAATACGTGTTCTGAGCTGACATTTGACAAATGAAATTTTAGCTCAACATCTGTTCTGAATCATCTAGCTGTCATAAAATGCAGTTCAGTGTTCATTAACTTAAAGTTTAGGACAAAAACGTTTTAAAAAAAAGGGTATTAAGATGTTTACAATCAAGTTTGTGGCAGGGGATAATTTTTAATTTATGCAGGTAGACTGTTAACTCATAGACGTTTATAGACAGATAGTAAAAACTTTACACATCTATCCAGTTGGAGAGTGAGGCTTTGCTGTTTGAAAAGGAAATAAGTCCCATATCACTGTCAGAAATAATACTGAAGGTCTGCATATGGGAAATGGAAAAGTTCCTGTCATTGCAGATTGATTTTTCAGAGCATTCTTTTATGTTTCCTTCATATAAAAACAAAAAGGAAAAGAAATATGTGCTAGGGCTGTGATATCAACTGTTTCATGTCATAATTTCTTATATGAAGATGTGGTATAAGGAGGGAAATAACACAATATTTATTTTATCATTATTTAGTTTCTTCTGAACTGTGATTGAGAGAAGTCTTGAGTTTTTTAAGGTATCAGAAATACATATTAATGTGGTATTTTCCAGCTACTTTCATGAAGGAAGATTAATCTTTCTCTTGGCACCAACAAGTTATCTGTGACTTGTGTATACTTATTATTATTGTAATTATTTTACTATTATTTTATTTTTCAGTTTTATTTTGTCTGTTTCTAAATTTTAAGAAAACTGGGGAATCTTAGAAATGTTGGGATCCAGTATTCAGTATGTGTGCCTTCTGGATTTAATTCCAAATTCGAAACTTGCCAAATGTGTATAAATTAGTTAAATTTTGAAGTTTTAATCTAGTAAGAAGCTGTGTACATGTACCACTGTGGCTAAGTTACGCTTGCTACACAACAGATGAAAATAGAACATTTTCATCTCCTCCAGTTAAATACATACCAGTGGGGTTTTGTGGTTGCAGTGGTTTTGCTGGTTTATGAACTCCAGCTGTTTGGTTTGATGTGTCCAGTCACAAGGTGTTCTTCATTGTTGTGTAACTTCCCAACTGTTTTTATTTACATACGAATACACGGGTCATCTCCTCCAAAGAAGCTGGCAGAAAGCTGAGGTAACAGCAAGAATTGTGTGGAATACACTCCACCATGGATACCAAAGTGATTTTCAGAGCTCACTGTCCCTTTTCATATTGCCTTGCATTATACTGATCTGTGCTTAAAACTTTCCATTACGGCTTCACTTTCCACGTGCTTCAGAACCTTTAGAACTATTTATTCAGAAAAAGTGGGATAATTTGGTGAATGAAACTGTAAAAGGTGCATTATTCATTATAGAACAGACTGCAATAATGATTTGGCTCTTGTTTAAAAAGAAAAAACATTATCATTAGAGAATCATGTTGCAACTTCACAAGAAAAAAATAAATAAACCCCAGTTATCTTGTAGCATTTCTCACCTTTACAACTGGGTGTAAGTCAGCACAGAGACAAAAGTTTTACAGGAGATGCATGATTTAACAGTAATTCTCTGAAACATTTCTGGTCAGTTCTGCATTTTCAGAGTCAACTTCTCATTTCATTACCTCTGCTGACCTTAATTTCCTCCTAAGCAGAAAACAACAGTGCTGTTTATCTTCTAAACTTCTAAACTAGCTTTCTTTTCACTTAGGAAAGGATATAAATTAGATCAGAACATCTTGTGTGAACTGTTAAGTTTCAAAACTCATCTTTTTTCTCTTTTTTTTTTCCCCATAAATATATTTCATTTGCAAAATACAAGCTAGAGAGCATTCTTTTTCTGTAGGAAAATTGACAGGAGTAAAATAAACTCTAGTTTAATTTCTGTGCTCCCGTAAAACTGCTTATGAGATTAGCACACAGAGTTTGGAGCATGGCCTGTTAAATGTTTCTGCAGGAGTCTTCTCCAAATACTTAATCTCACTTTGTTACAAGGATTGTCTTGGTATTAATAGTTTTAGTCTGCTGTAAGTCTGAATAGAAGCCAGGCACTCTGAGAGGCTAAAGAATTAAGAACATAACAGTATAATCCAGCACGGGTGGGACGTTGGCAATCTTGGTGGGAACGTTTCTGGTGGGTTCTTTGGGAAGGGTTGTCACTTTCAGAAAGGAACTTCTGGTGAGATGGAAGGCATTGCTATGACTGTGGTATAGCTCGTGGCAGCACTGTACAACACTGCTGT